AAACTAATGGGAGAGAGGTGATGGAGTAACCTGTCCTCTTAATAATAACGTCGCTTTTGGCCGTTTGCCCGTATGGCCGAAAGTGGACGTAATTTGAAAATGAAAAAAAAAAAAAAAAAAAAAAAAAAATCCAAAATTTATTTTCAACACCAGTAAGTTAAGGGTCCTCTGATAGGTTAGGCGGGCAGGAAATTCTCATAAGGTTTCAAAACGTTATGAAAAACGTTAATTAAAAGTTTCTTCTTCTAACCTTACCGCGTAGGCCGGACGACTCAAACAGAAAACGGAACAGTACGTCACTTTTGTGAGTCTATTTCATTTCAAATTACGTCCACTTTTGGCCATAGCGCGCATACGAGCCAAAAGTGACGTTATTTTTAAGAGGACTGGTTGGATGGAGACTATTCCATATAACTAGGAAAAATCATCATTTGGAAGCAGTCATTGAAGCCTAAATAATTGTTTAGGAAATTTAGCGAGTTATATTTATACATCAATGCACACCTCAAGCATTCTGGATGTCATTATGAGCTAAATTATGCAAATATGTTGTTTATAGCTCTTGGAATTAGAACATTTACTGTTTATTTGTGTAGTGTGGATGGAAATATTCAAGAATATTCAGTTCAATAATTCAAGAAAAAAGGAGGGGAATGTTGCATGCTAGTAACAGCCATTATTCCTAGGCACACTGTTGTCACTTCTCACTTCCTGAGAGTATGTCAATAACACCCAAAATTTTACATACACAAATCATTATTTTTATTTTATTTTTTTTTTTTTTTGAGATACATACAAGAGTTGTTACATTCTTGTACAGCCACTAGTACACGTAGCGTTTCGGGCAGGTCCCTGGAATACGATCCCCGCCGCAAAGAATCGTTTTTACAACCAAGTACTCATTTTACTGTTGAGTTAAACAGAGGCTACAGTTAAGGATTTGCACCCAGCAAATCCTCCCCGGCCAGGATACGAACCCATGACAAAGCGCTCACGGAACGCCAGGCGAGTGTTTTACCACTGCACCACGGAGACTGATTTAGAACGAATCAATTAGATGATACAGTATTATGATCCATGTGTATATTTCTATTATCGGTTTAATGTTAGGATGAATAGTGCTAATATAGCCAGACAGATGTAAACAGGCAGCAGCCTTTCAGTGACACACAATGTCACTCTTGCAGTCATATAAAACTTTTTCATATCATTTAAGGTTGCAGACATTAATGAACATTGTATTTCTTCATATTTTACTTGATGTTGAGATTGCCTAACCTAACAAGCCTATCCCATTATAGATGTATTTTTGTTCTTTTTGCCAGGCAGTAAGAGACTTATCATTTAGGAGGGATTGGATTCCCTTTTAACCAGACATGGTTAATGGAGACAGAACCAGATATTTGCATTTCAGGTCAACCCTAAAATCCGTATAAGGAGTATCCACTTAATCAGGTTCCCACTGTAGTGACGTAACATGCAAAAGGCTAGAGCGCATGATTAAATGTGCTAGGATAACTGGAAAAATACTTTACTAGGTAAGGAAGTACCTGACAGACAGGAAACAAGAGGGTTATGGATAGGAAATATTAAGTATGGAGGGAAGTATAAAAAATTCCTTAAGGTTCAGTTCTTTGACTTCTATTGTTCCTGGTCTATGTTAATAATCTACCAGAAAGAATAAGTTCCTACATGTCAATGTTCTAGTCAATGTTCAAAGACGACATCAAATTAATAAGGGGAAAATATAAAAAGAGTACTGTACTGCAGCCTACTGCAGAAGGACCTAATCGGTGCTTGTAGCTACAAGAGTTAGCAGACAAGTGGCTTCTAGGCTTCAGTCATCGGGAGTGTAATGTAATGAAGACAAGGAGAGGGAAAAATAAGACCAGAGAGGGACTAAAGCATAAAATAAAAGCAGCTAACTAAATCAGAATAGACATATGTATGGTAATAACATCAGGCCTAACACTAGAGGCATTCAAGTAAGTGAAACATTAGCAGCATACACAAAACTGGCAAACAACATGCAAAAAGCATTTATAAACATTAATAGGAACAAAAAAATAAAAATAAAAGTAAAATATAATGAAATGCCATTTTGACCAGGAGGCTCTCCAGAGCTATACTAGGGCGATGTGTACTGTATATATTAGACCATGGAAACAGTCGATCAAAGGCGTTCTAGGCCTACAGGGGACCAGTGCCAGGAACCGTGCCCCCTAAGAGAGGCACGAGGAGCAATAGCCTATAGATACCCCCGAGTAATTGAAAGCAGTCTATGTCTGCCAACTACCAGGTAAGGTACTCAGAAACGTAGGAATTTCAAAACTACAGCTGGCTAAAAATTGCAAACCAAAAGCCGAACTAGCAAGCAAACTCCCAAATCAAAAACAAGCAAACAAGCATGACGTCACCACACCCGCCATGCCGCTGTCTGCTCAACTTTCCCCTTCCAAGGAGGGAAAAGGGCGGATCTCAGACCTCCCACACCAGCTACCCAACCCCAGTTCAGAAGCTGAATATCAAAAACGTGAAAAAACACCGACAGGAGGGAGGGATGCTGGGGAGCCTCCGAGTCTCACCCAGAAAATGGCGTTTCATTACATTCAACGCTGGTTTTCTGTGGAGAGCCTCTTCGGCTTCCCGGATAATGTTGGACAGTCTCTGGACATGAAGTCCCTGGACAAGTATGTTAGACACTCCCTGGACATGAACCGCCAGGAGAGTCAAACCACGAGAACTCGGCAGACGAGTCACTCGAAGCGACCATCCCCAAAGAGCCAAGGGCCGCATCGAACCCCCGCGGTTCAGACAATGAACCACAGAGAAGCAGTCTGAATGGAGCCGGATGGTTGATCCACAAGCGAAGCAAACCCTCTGAAACGAATGCCACACTGCTGTGAACTCCCGCACCATGCTGTGAACCCGACGGACCCCACCGTCCCTGGCAGGCTTGGTGAGCACTGGTCACAAAGTCTCAGCTGAGAAACAAGGCATCCGTGAACACATCGAGCGAGGGCTCGGGTAGGTGCCACAGCACAGAACCCCGAAAAACCCGAATAGGAAGCCGGCGACACAGCAGCCGACGCTAGACCCCTGGGTTCCGAACCCAGAGATCACTAGAGGGATGTTCCGGAAGGAACCAGAGAAGCCGCCGAAGTCGGATCCAACCCGATGGGTAGACCAGCATGGTGAAGTTCAGACTCCCACACAGCTGCTCGAACAACCAACGCATGACCCGGGCGCCCTCCAAAAATAGCTGAAGGTGGGACCGCAGCCGCAGCAACACCGCGGCAAGGAGAGACAAGGAAATGGTTCGCGAGTTCCACACAAGACCCAGCCAAGTCCGAACCTGAGAGGGAACCAAATGGAACTTCCTCCATTTCCTCAAGAACCCAAACCCAGCAAGCTGGGAAAGAACCAAATCCCCGGCGAGCAGACACGCAGACTGGCTGGGAGCCCACACCAGGTAGTCATCGAGGTAAACCAGAACCCGAACCCCCTAACAGATGGAAACGGGTCACCATGACCCGGGTAAGGAGTGAATACGCGAGGTGCCAGATTCAAGCCGAATGGAAGGTAATGAAAGCGGCAAGACTGTCGCCCTATGACAAAACCGAGCCAGTCCCTGAAACCGGATGAATCAGGACAACCCCAGCTGACTCCAAGGGCGGGCAATCACCGAGCAGCAAAAGAACCATACGGAGGTAGTCTCCCGAATGGCTCATGGAAGATAACCCTAAACCACAAGGGCAGTACTTACACGGCACCTAGGGAGCCGGTCGGCCGAGCGGACAGCACACTGGACTTGTGATCCTGTGGTCCCGGGTTCGATCCCGGGCACCGGCGAGAAACAATGGGCAGAGTTTCTGTCACCCTATGCCCCTGTTACCTAGCAGTAAAATAGGTACCTGGGGTGTTAGTCAGCTGTCACAGGCTGCTTCCTGGGGGTGGAGGCCTGGTTGAGGACCGGCCCGCGGGGACACTAAAGCCCCGAAATCATCTCAAGATAACCTCAAGATAGGGAAGGTAGCCCTAGGCGCATGCAGCCCCAGTACTCTTGTGTAACTCCTGGCTCACACACCACCATACACTAGAACAACATCGCTATGGACAGCACTGCTCAAAAGGATTGACCGCCACCAAACACAACAGCCTCTGAACTGGGATTGGGTAGCCGGCGTGGGAGGTCAGGGACCCCCCCCTCCCCCCCAAGACCTTCCACAGCGGCTGTGGTGACATCATGCTGGTTTACTTGTTTTCAACTGGGGGAGTTCCGCTTGCTAGTTTGGCCTTCGGTTTGCAATTTTTAACCAGCTGTAGTTTGTTATGGAATTCCTACTTTGCTGGGTGCCTGACCAGGTAGATGGGAGACAGACTGCTTCCAATTACATGAGTGTGTGTATAGGCCATTGCTCCTCATGCCTCTCTGAGGGGGCCAGGTCCCGGCGCTGGTCCCCGGTAGGCCTAGAACTCCATTGACTGACTGTTGGCACGGTTTAATATACACACATCAACCCAGTATAGCTCCGGGAAGCCGAGGAGCTTTCCACAGAAATAATATACATAAGCCTATACCAGACCAGCTTCAGAATCTAGAGAACTGGAAACGGATCTCTATCTTGTGAATTGTAAGAATAAGATTGAGATACTCCAGACACTGGTGTACAAAATAAAAGAACTAATCAATGACGATAGGTCAAAGGAGATCAACTTAACAACCCTAGAAGAGAGGTGGTTTCCATGAGCCAGATCTCACACATAGATACAGTACTTAATAGGCAGGCACATTCTGAAAAATATGCACATGTGTGTACAAAATTCCTAATGGTAAAGGTACAAAGAACAACCAGATAAAACTAAAAAAAAAATTATCACAACAACAGCAAGCATAAGGGTTATTTATCCAGCTCTCAGCCTTCAAGAAATACATTAGTCATAGCATGGAGGAAATTCAAATTTCAATACTACTGCATACTTATCACCAGTCTTCTTACCTTTCCTCCACTAAGTAAGACGAGTTTGCTTCATCATCAAGATCAACTTCACTGCTTTCCAATTCTTTAATTTTATCTGATATTTCCTGAAATTAAGAAATATATATATACTGTAGAGTTTTGAGCAATACTAATGTACAGGTATTTAAAACTCACTAGTAGAGTTACAAGTATTGATTACATCATAATCCTTTTATTTCCTATTTTCACAGATTTGGAGAGAGACTGGAACAGAAAAGATTGAAAAGTATTAGTAGAAAATTTGAGCTTTGACTGTAATGAACTACTCCTTCCTGGTAAACACCTGAGTATGCTTCTACTTGCTTACATCACCAGGACACTAAGGTTCCAATAATAATCTTGGCCCAACAGAAGAAAGGACCTTTTCAAACTGCCTTGCCCCCCCCTCCTCAATGGAGAGGAGAGAACGGAAGAAAATTGTCTGCTAATAAATAACAAATAAAACTCTTAGCTTATTTCCCAAAAAGTTAGGCAATTACCAAATCATAAAATAAAATTCTGAAACTATCTAAATACTGTAGACACTAATGTGCCCCTCACTACTGCCACTAAGTGTGACCCAAGTAACTTGGGATACAGGTGGGGCAATTGTCCCATTCTGGGGATAACCTTACCTTAAGGTTACCTTGAGATTACAAGTGGTTCCAGGGATTCATTTCCATGTGGTCCAATCTATGGTCCTGGTTAATTGTCAAATCAACCAAGCTGATGAACACTGCTGAATCTTCCTAGATCTTACCTGGAGAGGGTTCTGGGGAGCTCTTAATGTAGGAATCACGTCTAGATAATCAGGTACCCCCTTTATAGACGTTTCTGGCGGGAGCCCTTTGTGGCTCCCCTGAAACTATACTGCTGATATAGTGCCAAACTACTAGGTTTGGTTTTTTAAGAATTTTAAGAATCTAGGTATTTTAAGAATTCCCAAACAACATTTTGGTACTCACCTTCATTTTTTTCTCGACCTTTCTTAGCCTGGAGGCCCGTTTTTTTTCTTCTTCCGTTTCTTCTGGTAATGGCGATGATACTCCACCCTCACCGGTTGACTCTTCACCACTGATCCGCTGTTTCTGAGGATACATATTTCTTTTAGCATTATGCATAAACATGAAAAAATTTCACACATTTATAGCCCATTCTTAGCACAATTTAACTCGTATCCCATCTGAATAGAAAATCTCATCAATTAAATATATTAATTAGTATAGTAATTACTGTATTCAAATTTCCAGACAGAGCTATCACTGTCTTACTAGACAGACATATCACACAAAAAGGTGAGGAAATCAATCGTGGTACACAGACCCATCCTCTTCCCCGGAATGCGCACACACTAATGGTCACCAAGATGCAAGAAAGACAGACATAAGTAGCACTAAATAATCATCCCCTTAAAATTGTAGGGGATAAAAACAAAGTCCATAAAGCCTGAGTAGATAGACATGGGCAAATATTTATTGCATTAAAATTAAAATCTCAAATGACTACAAGATTTGAGAGAGCCGGTCAGCCGAGTGGACAACACACTGGACTTGTGATCCTGTGGTCCCAGGTCCGATCCCGGGCGCCGGCGAGAAACAATGGGCAGAGTTTTTTTCACCCTATGCCCCTGTTACCTAGCAGTAAAATAGGTACCTGGGTGTTAGTCAGCTGTCACGGGCTGCTTCCTGGGGGTGGAGGCCTGGTCGAGGACCGGGCCGCGGGGACACTAAAGCCCCGAAATCATTTCAAGATAACCTCAAGATTCAAGATTCAAGAAGAAGAAGTGAGATCTAGCTATTTAAGTAATGCCTTCTAATTGCCTTGTGCACTTTATAAGTCTCAGTGCTCAAGTTCAGTGTTGAATCTTTCTTGAAGTTATGAATGGAGGTTATTTCCATGACTATTTTTACATTCATTTCACTTGCTGACCACCCATACAGAGAACAGTACAAAATTTCCTACGATTTTTACAACTTGATTGCATTTCCAGTTACAGTACTACCTATGTCCTCTTGTCCTATTCTCTCACTTCAAAGAGCCTATCTTTGTCTAAATTGTCAATTCCTCCCAGTATTTTGGAATTGTATGCAGAGATCATATTCATTATACAGCAGGGATTATATCCAACATCCAGAAATAAAAAAAAAATGAAAATACACACCCTATATGAACTGACTTCAGCACATAAATATAAATATTTCATAAAGTTTATTTGCACTTGTATAGTACAGTACAGTGGTACCTCGAAATACGAGTGTCCCTGTATACGAGTTTTTCGGAATACGAGCAAGATTTGCTCAGAAAATTTGCATCGGAAGACGAGTGTTGATACGCATACAGGCCGACTAGCACGTGGTGGCACAGCAATCGCGCCTCAGTTTACCAATGCCTCACGCCCAGTGACTATCCCGCCTGAATTTTTCACAAGGATTTACAGTTTTTTGTCGGATTTATGGCCATTTGAGCATAAAAGTTGTTATTATATATCTTGCCATGGGTCCCAAGAAAGCCAGTGGTAAGGTTCAACCTAAGAAAATAGTTGTGAGTAGAGGATGTCCCTTCTTCATTAAGAAAATGTGTGAAGTATGGGAAGAACTGCAAAGTTTTGTTGAAAAAACTCGCCCAGATAAAGCTGTAGCAGGCCGTTGCATTGACCTTTTAAATGACAATGTGATGTCTTACTGCAAACAAAGTGTTAAAATGTAGGGAAAAACAAGTGTCTTTAGATAGATTCTTAGTAAGACAAGCAAGTCCTAGTGGTATGCAGGCATAACGTGCCAGAGAGTGCACATCAGTGAAGTCCTCACTGCCTGATGTTATAATGGAAGGAGACTCCCCTTCCGAACAGTAACACCTCTCCTCCTCCTCCTCCTCCTCCAGAAAAATTACTTTCCCTGTAGGACTCTAACCACACAAGTACCCTGAGCATCAAACAGACCGAGCCAAAAAGAGGTAAATGCATCCCACCTCGACCAATCCAGCTCAAAGGTGTCTAGTGTCCGGACACCCTGGCGCCTAGAGTCCGGACACCCAGGCGCCTAGTGTCCGGACACCCTGGTGCCTAGTGCCCGGACACCCTGGCGCCTAGTGCCCGGACACCCTGGCGCCTAGTGCCCGGACACCCTGGCGCCTAGTGCCCGGACACCCTGGCGCCTAGTGTCCGGACACCCTGGCGCCTAGTGTCCGGACACCCTGGCGCCTAGTGTCCGGACACCCTGGCGCCTAGTGTCCGGACACCCTGGCGCCTAGTGTCCGGACACCCTGGCGCCTAGTGTCCGGACACCCTGGCGCCTAGTGTCCGGACACCCTGGCGCCTAGTGTCCGGACACCCTGGCGCCTAGTGTCCGGACACCCTGGCGCCTAGTGTCCGGACACCCTGGCGCCTAGTGTCCGGACACCCTGGCGCCTAGTGTCCGGACACCCTGGCGCCTAGTGTCCGGACACCCTGGCGCCTAGTGTCCGGACACCCTGGCGCCTAGTGTCCGGGCACCCTGGCGCCTAGTCAAAGAGGCATGCAATGAGAGGCACCAAAGAGCTTCCCAGAGCTACACCTGCAACACAATACAAATCTCCCGTCACACTAGTGCACGGGAATGACAGGAACCGTACCAAGCCTCGTTGGTAAACAAAGGACAGTCTGTCAGCCAGGATGAATCTGGACCCTCAGAATGCACCCAAAAGGGGCAAAGGACTGAACTCAAAAGATGCTGGGCCCAACACCGAGGCAGACTCCGTTCGCACCAGAAGTTCTCGCAAAGGCCTCCTGAACCCACCCCCACCCACCAGGGAACACGAGAAGACGTAACCTCCGAAAAGACAAAAACAAGAATCCAAAGGGCACTCAGAAACGAACTTAGGGAAGCTGCACCCACATCAAATACATACAGGGAGGGGGAAACCCCCACCCCCAGAAATAAAAGACCACCTACAGAAGGCATCAAAGCCCATGAAGGGTCAAATGGGACCCAAGGGCCCAACACAGACTTATCCAAAGCCCCGGGAACCATAAAAGAGGGCCCTGGGGCAGAGCCTATGTTCGCACCCACCGCCGAGATAGAAAAGTGGAGTCCAAGGGAAGAGGCCTCAGAAGGAATTGAAGGGTCAACTGCCGCCACACCAAGGTTGGAAGGAGCAAACCCTATATGAGGTTTGGAGACTGCAGTCTGATTTTAACCTAGCAGTGGTCTGTTTTGTTTCAGACTTTCTGGGTGCCCTCCCTTGGTGGCAGAAATGAATAAATTTACAAATAAAATTTTTCATAGTGCCACTACTTCCTGTGCCTCTTTGAGGGGGGACAGGTTCTGGCTCACGGTCCCTGGTAAACCAATTAGAACTCCACAACTGATGGCACCCTGTAGTTTGGCACTATATCAGTATACAGCCCTTCCTCCTGTTTTGGAAGTACTTATAGTAAAGATGAGAACCATAGTATATATACTGACGTACAATGAAATTAGAAAGTAGAAATCTGAACTATTGAGTTGGACAAACCGGAAAACTATTTTTTACTTGTGTTATTACTTTGACAAACTAAACTATACTAACCTAACTCTCCTAGGCCCAATACACAATATCTGAGGCCTAATATAGTACATGTGTGTGTTATATTAGGCCTAGGAATTTTTAAGTTTGTTTTAAAGCTTCATTTATTTTAAAAATTCCTTACTAGTCAGTATACTGCTACTGTATCTAAATGTAAGTACGTACAAATTTGAGACTATTGACGACCATCACAATAGGTACTATCTAAACAGGTGGATGGGTAGCAGTACTGTATATACAAGCTTCAGGAAGCCACAAGGGGCTCCCTCCAGAAAAGCTAACTAAATCCAACTATCTTCCAGGAGTGAAGAACCAGAATCTTCACAAGAATGAAACTATACTAAAACCATGCAAAATTATATCAGACCCACACTAAAGTGGCAAAAAGTGTTTTGGTGCACTAATAACCAAGGATTGCTTCTTAAACCAATAGAGACTCACCTCCAAGTTTTCTTCTTCCTGGATCTATGGCAGCATGATGGTATAAGTAATACAGATGTACAGTAGTTAACTTCAACAAAAATACACTAATTCATAAATATTGCAATACAACAGTACAATTATAAGTGTGAACTTTGTTCATTAGGGAAAGAGTACTGCACATAAAAGTCAATACAGCACAGTGACACCTCGGCTTACGAATGCCCCTCTTTACAAACTTTTCGGGTTGCGAGCCCGATTTCTTCGTAAAATTCAAATCGGGTTACGAACTTTGCCTCTGGAAACAAAGTTTGTTGATACGTGTATGGCCAACCTAGCGCATTGTGGCACGGCGAACACACCTCAGTTTACCAGTGCCTCCCTCCTAGTGACAATCGCGCCTGAATTCTTTGTAAAGATTTTCAGTGTTTTTTTTATTTTTGGGTATTTGAACATAAAAGATTTTATTATATATCTTGCCATGGAGCCCAAGAAAGCCAGTGGTAAGGTTCAAGCCATGAAAACATATGTGAGAAAGACCATAGAGGAAAAATAAGAGATCATTAGTAAACATGAAAATTGTACACAGGTTGTTGAACAAGCTAGGCAGTACAACAAATCTATGTTAATGACATACACTGCAATTGCTAAGAAAAAGGACATTACGAATGCTAAATTGGAAAAAGGTGTATCAACAATCAGGAAACAAGGAACACAAACTCTTGAGGATGTTGAAGTGTTTATTAATTCACCCAGAGCAAGCTGTAGTAGGCCATTGTGTTAACCTTTTTAATGACAATGTGATGTCTCACTTCAGAACCAGTGTTACAACGTAAGGAAAAACAAGTTACTAGACAGGTTTTTAGTGAGAAAACAAGCAGTGCCGCACAAGCAGGTCCTAGTGGTATGTAGGCAAAACGTGCCAGAGAGTGTACCCCCAGAGAAGTCATCACTGCCTGATGTTATAATGGAAGGGAACTACTCTTCCAAACACTAACACCTCTTCTCTTCCCCCCCCCCCACACCTTCCTCCTCACCATCTTCCATACGCCAACAAAAGTCATCAATAAAGGTAAGTAAAAACGAGTACATAGTTTAATACTTAAAGATTTGGGTGAATTAGGTATAAAATTTACTTTTAAGTAAATTTTTGGGGGAGTGTGGAACGAATTAATTCAATTTACATTATTTCATATGGGAAAATTCACTTTCGTTTACGAATTTTCGGCTTACGAACCGGCTCTGGGAACGGATTAAATTCGTAAGCTGAGGTACCACTGTATATGATAATGTAGTATATGATAATCTGCCTGGAATGCTATGCATGTTAGTGGGTGTGCATGAATGTAAAAATATCAATCTTACGTAATCTCACCAACCTATTGTACCTTCAGCAAATAAATTATAATTATTATTTGTTATTATTAATGTAAGCTCTTCTGGCAGACAATGAAAGACATGAGTGTGAAGTAATTTAAATTGTTGATAAATGTGTATGAGAATAGATTGTTATTTAACGTACAGAAATATAATTTTTGTAAAGTGGAGAGAAGAAATTGTGTGAAATTAGGATTTATACCTTTTGCTACAATATATCACTAAAAAAAATAAAAATCATAACACTATTTTACAACTTATTTTCTTAAAAGTTTACAGATCCTAATTACTGTAAACTTAATATACTGTACAACATATAAAGGTTATGATAAGTACAAAGCTTACCTTGTCTCCAAAGGGAGCATCTTTGTATCGCTTCAAACTGTCTAATATGTCTTTTATTACAACATAAATGTTGTCAATCGACAGCTTACGTGTTGCACTCTCAATCATATTGATGAACTTTCTGTCAAAAAAGGTAAACAAAATCAGTGAAGATTCTTTACCAGTGCTTCATGTAAACACAAGACCAAACTAGAGTGCATTTATAGGTTGCATTTGGACTTTATTTACTATTAGAAAATGAAGACCAAATTCTTTTTTTTTATTTAACTTACATTTGTATATTTCCACCACGAAAAATTAAACAAAAATTAAATGGCTAACATAATATAATTCAAATACAATTTAATTCTTTAGGGAAGGAAGGTATGGAATCAACTGGAGGTTCCACAGCAAAAAGGGTACAGGGATAAATACAAGAAGCTGAAACACACCTGAAAGCAATCTGAGATCAGGAAATCCAATACCTCCTTAACTACATGAATTTAACAAGGACCAACATTTAAAAAATGGTATTCAGTGCAAGTCTCTTGTCTACATGCAGCCAAGTAAAAAACCAGCGTTGAATGTAATGAAACGCCATTTTCTGGGTGAGTCCCGGAGGCTCCCCGGAGCTATCCCAGGCTGATATGCTAATGTCAGACTTTGGCATCAGTCATGTGTATGGAGTTCTTAGGCCTACCGGGGACCACGGCCAGAACCGGGCCCCCTCAGAGAGGCAAGGGGAGCAATGGCCTATAGAAGCCCCCGTGTAGTTGGAAGCATTCTATGTCTGCCATCGACCGGAACAGGCACCCAGAAAGGTAAGCGCCCCAAAACAAACCCCTATTCTGGTTAAAATTGCTACCAAAAACCGAACTAGTGGATAGAACTCCCCAACCGAAAACAAGCAAACTAGTGTGACGTCACACACTGCCGCGCCGCTGTCTGCGCAGCTCCCCCCTCCCCGGGAGGGGGAAGGGGGAGCCCCAGACCCCCCGCACCGGCTACCCACACCTCAGTTCTTGAGGCTGGATGTCAAAAACGCGAAAAACCGCCGACCGGAGGGAGGGAGGGATGCCGGGGAGCCTCCGGGACTCACCCAGAAAATGGCATTTCATTACATTCAACGCTGGTTTTCTGGGGGGAGCCCCGTCGGCTCCCCGGAGCTAACTACCCACAGACAGAAAAAGAGGGACTTACCCGGGAGGCGGTCGTCGCTCACCCCTCAACTCGAAGCCGAGACAACTGGCTGCAACCGCCGACCCAAAGCAACACAGGCCCGACGAGGCCCCGGAACATTCACAAGGTAACGAGCAGCCAGGACCCTGTTCGACCGCCAAAATCCCCGCGCCCGAATATCAGACCAAGACATATTCCCAAAGACGGCAGCAAGAGCCGCGAACTTACGAACGTCATGGGCACGGGGATAGACCGCAGGCTGGCTGGACCTAATAACCCTGCGGACGACCTGAGAGACCCGAACCCGCGAACAGGGAAGAAGGGAATCCGGATCAACCCACAGCGCGTCCCCGGACACAGAAGCTGTGGCGCGCAAATAACGGCAAAGCGCCGCAACCGGACACAAAACATGATGCACCCCCGGCCTGACCAACCAAGCATCAACCACCCATGGACTCCTCCGGAACGCAGCAGTCTCATTCTTCGCCAGAAAAGAAGGAGACGGCTGCAAACGAACAAAACTATCACCACGACCAAAAGAGCAGAAACCCCTGCGCCGGAGGAGAGCATGAAGCTCCCCTACCCGACCCCCAGAGGCCAAAGCCAACAAGAAAAGTGCCTTGGAAAAACAATCCTGGACCGAAGGGGCCACAACGAAACGAGGAGATGAAAGGAAAGCGAGCACTCTGTCCAAAGACCAGGACGGCTCAGGCGACGCATGAGCAGGCCGGAGGTGAAACAATGCACGAGACAGCTTGCGAAACGGCGCAGACGTAACATCGATACCGAAAGCAAGCTGAAGCGGCTCCGCCAGCGCCGCACGATACGAAGCGACAGTGTTAGGCATAAGATGACGGTCCTGAAACAACCACGAGAGGAAGGCCAAGACCACCCGAACAGACAAGGAGCTAACACGACGAAGACGCAAAAAGAAACGGAAGGACCGCCAGGAAACTTCATACTGCCGCCGAGAAGAAGCCCTCAGGTGGGACACCAACAAGGAGGCCACCTGATCACCATAGAGATGATGATAGACTCGAGTCAAAAAAAACATACGCGAAGACTCGAGGAGAAGATCGAACCAGCTACGTGACGTACCGGTCCGATCTGCTGAAAAGAGGCGGAGCCGCGGGAAAACCCTCGGGTTCAGACACCGAGCAACCAGCGCCTGAAACCAAGGCTGGGCCGGCCACCAAGGGGCCAGAAGGACAACTCTCCCCCGGTAAGTCTCTAAGCGAGTCAGGACCTGGAGCAACAGCCGAACCGGGGGAAAGAGGTACAGGAACCCCCACCTCGACCAGTCTAGCCGAAAGGCATCGACCCCGACGGCCTCGCAATCGGGGAAGGGCGCCGCATAAACGGGAAGACGCCGCGACCACGCCGACGCGAAGAGGTCCACTTCGGGGCGCCCGAACGTCTGGCAAAGCCAACGGAAGGACTCGTCGTCGACCGTCCACTCCGTGGAGAGGGGAACGAAGCGAGACAGGGCGTCGGCCAAGACGTTGGACACGCCCCGTACGTGAACCGCCAGGAGAGCCAAACCCCGAGAACTCAGCAGACGAGTCACCCGAAGCGACCAACCCCAAAGAGACAAGGACCGCATCGAACCCTCGCGGTTCAGGCAATGAACCACCGGAGAGCAGTCCGAATGGAGCCGAATCGTCGATCCGCGGGCCACCCGAATCCTCCCCAGAGCAAACCACACTGCCGCGAACTCCCGCACCGTACTGTGAGCTCGACGGAAGGACGGATCCCAACGCCCCTGGCCGGCCTGGTGAGCACTGGTCACAAAACCCCAGCCGAGAGACGACGCATCCGTGTACACATCGAGCGAGGGCTCGGGTAGGCGCCAAGGCACTGAACCCCGAAAAACCTGAAGAGGAAGCCGGTGACGCAGCAACCGACGCAAGGCCCCCGGGGGTCGAACTCTGCGAGCGCGAGAGAGGCGGAAGGGGGAACCCCTTAGGAACCAGAACAGCCGTCGAAGCCAAACCCGACCCGGCGGGTAGACCACCATCGCGAAGTTCAGGCTCCCGCACAGCCCCTCGAGCAACCGCCGGGTGACCCGAGGGCCCTCCAGAAACAGACGAAGGCGGGACCGCAGCCGCAGGAGAGACTCCGGAGGGAGAGACAAGGAGGCGGAGGGAGAGACAAGGAGGCGGTTCGAGAGTCCCACACGAGACCCAGCCAAGTCCGAACCTGAGAGGGAACCAGATGGGACTTCCTCCAGTTCACCAAGAACCCGAACTCGGCGAGCTGGGAAAGAACCAAATCCCTGGCTAGCAAGCAAGCTGACTGGCTGGGAGCCCAAACCAGCCAGTCGTCGAGGTAGGCCAACACCCGAACACCTAGGAGACGCAAACGAGCCACCACAACCCGTGTAAGGCGCGTGAACACGCGAGGTGCCAGGTTCAACCCGAACGGGAGACAACGAAAGCGGTAACTCAGACGCCCCACCACAAAACCGAGCCAGTCCCTGAACCGCGGATGAATCGGGACATGCCAATAAGCGTCCCGGAGGTCCAGGGACACCATCCAAGCTCCCGGCTCCAAGAGGAGCCGAACCTGAGACAGCGTAGTCATCCCAAAGGAGGGGCAATGAACCCAGGGGTTCAGACGGGACAAGTCCAGAATGAACCGTAGGTCCGCGCAGTCCCGTTTCGGAACCGGAAACAGACGGGAAACCCATCTGAGGGACGACGTCGTTTCGACGACGCCCAAGCGTACCCACTCCAAGACGACTCGACAGAGCGCAGGGGAAGAAACCTGCCCTGCCAGCCCCGACCCCCCAAAGGGGGGAGGGGCCACCCAACGCCACCGCAGGCCGCGAGACACGACCCGAAAGGCCCACGAATCGTGGGACCAGGCGCGGGCGAACAGCGCAAGCCGCCCCCCCATCGCCCCGTCAAGGGGGCAAACCGCAAAAGGGCCGGCGACCCTTACGAGACCCCGCACAGCGCGAACACCGCGCCGACCAGACGAGGGAGGGTCCGCAGGAGGAGCCAACCCCAAACCTGACACCAGAGGCCTACCACGACGAAAGGAACCCCGAGCCCTGGCACGACCTTTCCAGGAAGACCCACTCAGGGACCCCCGGAAAACCAACAAGTCCGACATCGGACGACAAGCCGCCGACGCAGCCTGAATAAACTGCGCCACGGCCGACTCCCCAAACAGGAGAGGACAAAAAGGTGAAGAACGCCTAAGAGCCAGAGCCCAAGCAGATTCCATGGAGGAACCCAGCACCGCCTGCCGACACGCGAGACGGGAAGCATAGAACAGGGAAACCGCATCCCGCAAAATCGGCGTGAACAGCTTCAACAAGGCAGCCGACGAACGCGCAGCCGAGGACAAGGTGCCGGACCCCGGGACGGACCCAAGCGTCCCCACATCCTCCACGAGCCAATCCGAAGACAGCTCCAGGAGGGAAAAGAACCGCAAGGCCGAACACAAAAGGCCCCGGGCGCGCAAGTCCTCCGCCACGAGCGCCGCCGAAAGGGAGGGAACCTGCACATGGAGCTGAATAACGCCCACATCGCGGGGAAGGGCAGGGGCAAACAAGCACTCATTCAGGTACTCAAGTTCACCCCCCAGGAAAACCTGAAGCACCGGGGAAGCTTCCCGCCACTCCAGCGTGCGGGAACGACAGAAGGAATGCCAGGAATCCAGACCAAACAAGGGGCAGTCTGCTAGCCAGGACGACTCCGGAACCTCGTAACGGAGACAGAAAGGGAACGAAGTCCCAAACCTGAACGTGGATGGATCCATTTCCGAGGCATAATCCGGGTCGCGCAGGAGGTAAGCTGCAGAGGCCGCTCGCACCACACCAGGTTGGATGCGATAAGCCGAAAACCTCCGGAAGGACGGAACCGACGTACCCGGGGGAACACGGAACCGAACCCGGGGAGGGGCCGACACCAAATCCAACTCGTACGCAGAGGGGGGAAAAGAAAACCCCACTCC